TTCTTTTCTTCTTCCTCTTCTTTTTTTCCCTTTCTCTCCTCTTTCCCTTCTTTTCCTTCTCTCTCTCTCCTTTTTTTTTTTTTTTTTTTTTGCGGGGGGGGGGGGGGGAGAGGACCAAGGCACGCTCGGCCCCCCCCATGGATCCGCGCCTGGCTCCCTCTCTAGACTGATGTAACTTTAGCTTCAAAACAATTTTTCTTCGGACTACAATCGACCGACTTGCTATTCCCGTTTGGAAATAATATATGAGAACTGCATATTCTGAGATTTTCATGGCCGCAGCTACCATGGAATGGTATTTCAATATTTCCACGATATGCGCATTTCGCTATTATAAAATCATCTATTGATAAATATATGGGCATGCGGAATGTTTAGGAATTTAATTCCTGTTTACTCTCCTTTTCTTTGAATGGAATATAATTTATATATGATTCAATTCACGTTTTATTAGTTTTAAATTTCTTTTTGTTTAAAATAACAAGACCATTTTGACTCCTTTACTGCTAATCTTTTTTCAGGGGGGAGGGGGGGGGGGGGCTTCTGGGGGCGAAAATGCGTTCTCCCCCCTTAATTCCCACACTTTTTTTGTTTGCGGGGAGGCGACCGCCCCCTGCCACCTTCAGGCGCCCCCTGCAGTGTACAGTAGTCATATGTTTCATGTATTTTGTTGTTAAATGTCATTGCAGTTCTGATGCGATCCGGAAACTTAAAGCTCTCGGCCGACAATGCAAGACTCCTCGATGCCTACGTGCATGCATCATTCCGAGTCTCCTCTTCGATAAGATGCGCACAATACTGCCTTGCTGACGTCACTTGCTCTTGCTTCACCTACATTGCCCACGAGAGGGAATGCTTGCTTGGCGAAGAATGCCAGGCGGCATATACACATCCTGGAGCTAAAACATATTCAAGGGCTTAACTTCATCAACTGACAATTCAGGATTAATTTGTCAACATATGGTCAAAAACAAAAATTATGAATTGCAAGCAGTAATTTTCTGTAAAATTAACTGTAAAGTACCCCGATAGATGGCGCTAGACCAGCTTTACATACAGAGTCAATATCAGTTTTTTTTTAATGTATATAGGATCTCTTTAAAGGTATTACAAAGTTTTGGAATGGGGTCATGAACTTTGTTCAAATGAACACATTGGTAGCATATGCGATCCTACAATATTCAGTGATCGTTGTCGCGGTTGAAATCGAGTCTAAAGTTATGAAATTGTAAATAATAAACTCTTTTATGTTGTATAGCTCCCTCTCAAGGTCAAGATATTAATTAAGCAATGAAACAATGTTTCTTGACTAAAATCTACCAATTAGCTATTCCCGTTTGGAAATTATATATCACAACTACATATTCTGAGATTATCATAGTCGCAGCTACCATTGTACGGCCGTAGGCGCTATTTGAAATTTCTCAAAATTTACCGGGAGCACCGGTAAATTTTTATACTAAATTTTTCTCGAAAGTAGAAGTGTTTTAGGGGCTAAATTTTTGTGTGTTTACAATACATTCACAGGGGCATCCAAATATATCAAAATTGTAAAGAATCACTTTCCACCCAATTTTCAAAATTTCCCAAAACTTTGTATTACCTTTAAAGCTGTATGATGCTCAAGAGAATCGTAAAAACGTTCATAGAAATAATAATAGCCTTACAATCAATATCACCTATTCTCTCGAAAACCTTTCTACGATTCTGCGTAGCATGTATGAGCTCTATCGTCTAGCGCCATCTCTCGGGGAAATAACTTGGGGGCAAGAAAATATTTTTATGTATAAAGTAGTATTGCCCCCCCCCCCCCCCCCCCCCCCCACTCCGGGGACCGGAATGACCGCATGCGTGTTACCAAAATGTCTGGTAAAGGGGTACTTTTCACGCACCAAAGTCCGGCTCGTACATACACAAAATTGACTTTACACACCGGACTTAGGGGGTGTTTTCAAAAGGAGGGAACACGCATATGCGTACCCTAAATAACACTGAGTTGGGGGGGGGGGGGAGGGGGCGGGTCATTTTAAGAAGCAAATTATAATATTTTCTCTTTGCTAAACGTCACACTGATTCAGATAATTTTGTGCAATAGAATTTAAACAAAATCCTCTTTACAATTCACCATTCTTATTCTTGAGTTTATTTATATATATTTATATACTTGGAGTAAAATTCAAAATGATGTTTAAGAAACTGTCAGATTGTGGATGAATTTACATAGGTAACTTTTTGTTCCTATTTTTTTTACCGTACAAAACTAAAGGATTTATGGATAATCTTGATGAGTACAAATTTACATAATATATATGTCAAGTCTATTTACTTAGAGATTTAAGAAAATAGTCATTTTCACATCGTATTATTGAATTATTGAATTAAATAAAGTACATCTTTAAAATAGCATTTCTTTTTTGACGTATATTGTAATCCTGATGCTGAATAAATCTTGACCTTTTGACTTTAGAAAATCTCTTGTATTCATATGTACTCATTTTAAACATGATTATTACACAACTTTAGGAGGCTAAATTTGTGGATCGACTTTGTACATTCAGTGGACCTTATTCTACACATCATTGAGAAAAGGAGGATTAACATTGCACTTCCGTCGATGGTATCTAGAAAAGTCACTGTGTTGTTAATCTTTAGCCTTTGCACTGATGTGAGGGGGGGGGGGGAAAGAGATAAAGAAAGAGACATAGATATACATAGAGAAAGACAGAGAGAGAGAGAGAGACAGACAGAGAAAGAGAGAGATCGAGAGAGAGACAGACAGAGAAAGAGAGAGAGAGAGAGAGGGGGGGGATGAAGAGAGAGAGAGAAAGAGAGAGAGAGAGAGAGAGAAAAGAGAAAAAAAGAGAGACAGAGACAGAGAAAGATAGAAAGAGAAAGAGGGAGAGGGAGAGAAAGACAGTGAGAGGGAGAGGGAGAGAGAGAGAGAGAGAGAGGGGGAGGGGGAGAGGTGAGGTGATGCGGGGGATGCCCCATCGAGAAAAAAGAAAGAATTATCCACAATATAAAACAAACAAGCCCTATATAACGAGCTTATCAATTTCTAACTAGTAGGGAAAAGGGACGAGGAGCACTTTCAACATCCCTAGGGAAGACGAATAGACTGGGGCTTTATTGTAAATTCAAAAATGGGAAATAACGTCAAGAAAGTTCAGATTAATGCAGTGAAATGGTAACTATAATAATGCCGCTTTTAGAGCCAAAGGGATATGCATCAAGTACAAATATTTAGGACTTGGGCGCAAACGCAATTGGGTAACACTACGAGGTCCCTTTAGTGATAATCTCCCACAAGACTCCCCGATAGTGTTACTTGTTTTGATACTTCCCCCCCCCCCTACTGCCATAAGCCCATATTTTCTTTGTCGAGAATTCCATTGACAAACGTGTTGTAGTCCATTCTTCCCTTACAATTTAACTGGCCGAACTGGATTTAAAAAAAAAAATATTGGGCTTTCCCACCAAAATATTTAAATCAATCGCAATATGTTGATCGTACTCCAGTTTTTGGGGTCAGCTCCAGCTTATTACCTAAAAATGGCCCCTTTTTAGGGATATCCTCCCCAAGAATCCCCGATAGTGTTTTTTTTTTGCTGCATAACCCCTCCCCCGACCCCTTTCCGCCATAGCCCCCTTTACATTTTTGTTGAGAATTCCATTGACATAATTGTGCTTAAGTTCACATTACCTCACATCAACAAGAACAATAATTATGATATAACTATGGCCGAACTGGATTTTTAAAATTGTTTTTAAATATCGGGCTATCCCTCCAAAGTATTTTCTTTTTGAGAGTTCCATTGACATATCGTGCTTTAGTCCCCTTTTCCTTACATCGCCAAGCACAATATTGGACTTGATGAAATGTCATAATACTTTAATGTCACGGTCATGGTAAGGGATGAGATTGCGTTCAAAGCTTTATTCATCCTGTCAGAGCGTTATGCAGTAAACAATGATGATATTCCAACCAGGGCCCTCTACAGATATTATTATCTTAAAGCGGATGTTTTCGAACAGAATGGAGTGACAGATGAGATGAAATTAAAAATGTGGTGGTAATCATTTTTTCATCAATTCGATCATCATATTGGAATTGGTTAAACAAAAATGGGTGTCCAGATATTAATTTCAGCCAGTTATATCATCACCTTGGGATTATAACTTACAGCATCACAAAGAAAATGGAGGAGAAGTATGAAATCAATAGTTACACTCCGTAATTAAAGAGAAAGCATAATTACAAAAAATAAAAATAAACGATTCTCGAAGTCTTGCTTTTAAGATTAATGACAGCAGTTCAGTAAAAAAAACTAATCACATGTTTTGACGCATGCGTGTTAGTCACTTTATTTTTATTTTTATTTCATATATCAGTCAGTCTTATATGTAAAATGGATACTTATGAACATTTTTTTTGATATTAAAGGCTATATATAGGTTGTAACAGGTTGTTTCGTTCATTCCTCGGCAAAACTGAGATCTTCAGATTTAGAGACAACTTGACGAAAACAAGAGACCGAGTTACACTGTAAGTATGACATTATTTATAATTATCAAAAATGCATTTGATTAATACTTAGACCTGTTACAAGGATACAGCTAAGTTTAAGTGGAGGAGACAAAGTTATAAACTCAGTGCATCTCGAATCGCTTTCTGTCATATCAATGAGCATATTTTTGCAAAAATTTTCGAAGTGAAATTGTAGTTACCATGGTTACACAGGTTAACTACATTTGCTAGCAAACCACGGAAATTTTGTTGTGAATGTTTTTTTTAACTTTCTTCTGAAGATTAGTACTTGTTTGTTTAGGTGGATAGGGGTATTGTTGATGAATACCAAGGATATAAATATAGGTTTTTCCCGCTCAATTTCGTATTTTTCCCACTCAAATCAATTAACGTGCATTCAAATTCACGGTCGTTCAAATTTAATATCCGGGCTTTGAAATGGGAATGAATGTTAAAACGGCTTGCCATAACTATGATCATGTGCCAAAGCTACATCGGCGGAAAACGCAAAGTTCACGGTGCGATTCTCCCTCAGGCCTTGAACCACTCGTCTATCCAGTTGGCTGCGTGCATGGTTCGCGTCCAATGTGGAATATAATAGCTTTTATATTCCACATACTAAGAATCTTGCGCTACGATTGGTCAAAAGTAAATCACGTGATGAAAGAGAGTTCGACCATCATTGATGGGAGAAGAAAAGTTTGTTGCACTGTGTAGATAGTAGACAATTTACCCAGTGCAATGCACATTTACTGAAGATAGAAATACTATTTACATATTGCAACGCTGCATGCACTGTACGTAATATTGTTAGCTGTCAATTGAAGATTTGTTGCTCTAAAATGACGAAAGAAGTGAAATTTTTCCGATGTGGAATATAAAGCAAATAATCACCTTTTGGTTTCAGGCGATGGCAAACTATCACTTCCTCGGCGATCTGAATTTATACGCTATCTTTCATCAGTTTTGCTTCAGAAAGATAGCTACATCCATGCAGATCGCCTCGGAAGTGATAGTTTGTCCCATCACCTTCACCATCGATAATTTTTTGCTTACTGCATTCTAACTTCAATCTCTTTGTCTAAACTTGTTCAAACTACAGATGGATATTTATTCTTCTTTGTTCGTTTTCTTCGTTGTATTCGGCCAATACTTTTCTTTCACCGAACAAGGTCAGTACAGAATCTCTCTTTTTTACAACTTATACGAAGAAGGAACGTTCCGTTATTCATTCAAAATAATATTATCCAAACGCCTTTTTTCTTCATATTCCTATGCTGACAATGGCAAACAATTCGGAGTTGACGTCCATATACGGAGTATAGTCGAACTTCGAAGTAGCACTATATCAATAGAAGAAGTATTTATATACACCCAAAATCCTTGGTAAAAGTGTTCAACACCATGGTAGTAGGGAGTCCTACCGACTTTGGGAAATATTATGCTCAATCTAGTAACGATTTGTCCACATTAAAAAAATTGTTATCAGCAATGAACTAAAACGCTTCATATCTTTTCCCTTAATTGTTCCACCACTCCGCCCCAATCTCTTTCTGTCTGTTTCTCCCTCCATCCCACCCTACCCTCTTTCTGCCTCTCTGTTTCTGTCTGTCTGTCTGTCTTTCTTTCTTTCTCCCCCTCTCCCCAATCCCTACATCTATCTATTTCTCTCTTTGTCACAGCTTGCAATCCAAATCAAAACGAACACGGCGGGTCCTGTTACCATTTCTCCCTCGGTGCGTCTGACTTCGAAACTTCAAAAGCATCATGTGCCAGTCTTGGGATGCACCTGGTCTTCATCGGATCTCAGGACGAACAAGACTTTCTGGTCGTCACCGGCCTCGGCTACGAGTACTGGATAGGGTTATCCACAGTGACTTCGTTGGACAATGCAGCTACTTCAACATGGTTGGACGGCTCAAGCTTGACCTATATCAACTTCGCCGTCTCAGGATGGACTTTTGATCAAGGAGGAGAGTGTTTCCGAATGTCAGGGTCACAATACGAATGGATGGACATGACTTGTTCTGTGGAGCTTCATTATATCTGTGAAACAGAAAACAGTGAGTGCTGATAAGATTATATTTTATGATTCGGTATTGTACTTTGATTTAGATTCTTTTAAAAAGCTTATAGGCCTATGCGAAAACCTTACGTCAAATATAAAGAGTACATAATAATATCAATTTTATTATAAGATACTTGATCCAGTCGATGTTGCCTACACGCTGTGCCATCTAATATTCAAACGCCCCCTACGTCGTAAATTTGATACGGCGGAACCGGTATCGCAACCGTGGACGGTCCCCCATTGCAGGTACGTCCGCGGTTTGAGGTAGTTTTCTATGGAGTGGTCCGCGGTTGCTGGCGTTTTCCTACGCACACGAACATGTGTATCCTCACGCGCATGCACAAACGCTTTATGTAAACGTATAATATTTCTGAACCTTGCCCTTCTGAATATTCCATCAACTATTTGGATATGATGAGTCACTCTGGTGATGATCTATAAAAATTTCGAGAACAACGCATACAACTTAGAAACTTGTTCAAAATTATATCTTCGAGACCCTACGACCAACTTTGATTGAGAAGGGAGAGATATGAATGCAATTTTAACTTCTTGATTAGCAGCGAACTCGATCTCCGGCCTTTACATAGCTATCATATCTTTTGAAATAATCATAGCCTAGATGTATGAGCCATAATACTGTACTCATACAGGCAAATCTAGTGACGCAACCGAAGAAGTCATCGTTGCTGAAAGCGACGTGTCCACAAGCATCACATGATCGTCATCAACAACAACATTAGTGTAAGAACCAGCAACATCTACCACTGTGACAGTTTATTTCAATTCAACTCAATTTGATTTCTGTATCCAACAGAGGGCACTTCTACAACACCAGACCCATCAACTGTATCCACTGCCCAGTCAGTACCCACGACCGTAACCTTGTCATCTAGAGATCAAGGTAAATAAACTTGATGTGGGGGGGGGGGGGGGACCAACAAAAAAGGGCACTTTCTGGAAGAAAAAAAGGGCACCTTGAAAGGGAAATCTCAATGCGAAAATATACAATTTTTTAGACATTGGTATATTTCCCTATATTATTACAATATCAGGGATGATTTCAATATTTGTTTCTCTTTATACATGATATAAGATATTGCTTAAGCATCATACTTTGTAATTGGGTGTTATGGTATGAAAATTCATTTGCGAGCGAGGAAAATTTGTTAAAGTAGCCACACGAAGAAATCAAAAGTGTTTTGAATTGATGCAAAACTCCTATAATTGCGAAGGGGAAGCCTTGCCGATCAAATACAACAACTCTTCTCTATATGTTTGGGCCCCGGTAATCAACTCTCAAAAATGTTAGCTTTGAGATCCAGATTTTCTGCCTTCAGCGGTCCTTTGTAGATCGTCAATATTTGTGACATCACATACGGGACACGGCTGGCTAGCTGCAAACTGCTACACGGCACTGAGCTGTTCGTCCAGTGTGTGACGTCACAATTCAGAGCTCGCTACGCTGGGGTGTTTGACTTATGTTCAGGGGCGTTTGGGGGTCTAAGGAGGGTCTTGAAAAATTGCATTTTTACGCCTTTCCATGATATCTATATGATTTCTCAGCAAATTGTTCTTGTTTTTCAAGAGAAGATCTTTCCATCCATATGTAATTTGTTCTAATTATGAGTTGTTAGTGAATTTTCTTTGTGTAGCTCCTTTAAGATTTGTGAGGTCGCAGTGCGAAAAATTACATCTTATAAAGAGGAAAATCCCAATTCTGATGGGGTTATAAGCACATTCTCATAACAGAAGACTGAAAAGACCTTTGATAAGTTACATAATTATAACATCTATATCTACAAACGAGCGTAGCTTTTGCTTTCGGGGAAATTGCTCTCGGTCGCTTGAAATTAGGGGCATGTTTAATGATCAGAGGAAAAGGACACTTATCGAAAGGGTTAAGACACTTATTAGAAAAGAAAAGGAGTACGTGTCAAAGTACAAAGGCTAATTATCAGAGGTGAAAATGGGGCACTTTTTACACATAAAGAAAGAGACACGCATCAGGGATGTAAAGGGATTTTATGGGATGGGAAATGGGCTTTTGTCGACGGAAAAGAGGCACCCATCAGTGTTTAATAGGGGCATTTATCGGAGGTGAAGGGGGCTTTTATGAGAAGGGAGAAGTGGCACTTATAAGAAGGAAAAAGAGAATTGATTAGGAAGGAAAAGGGGGACGTGTCAAAATAAAAGGGGCATTTATAGGGGATGAAAAGAGGACTTATTATGTGGGAAAGGGGCACTTGTCAAAGTAAAACGAGTATCTCTCAGAATTGAATAGGGTCATTTACAAGAGATGAAAAGGGGCACTCATGAAAATTAAAATGGAACTATTTTCATAGATCAAAATCGGGCATTTATGAAAAGGGAAAGGGGCTCTTTTTCAAATGGGGGCACTTATCATAAGGAAAAGGGGCACTTATTAAAAAGGAAAGAAGCCACATGTGAAAATATAATGTGCGTTTATCCGAGTTAAAAAGGGGTAGCTTTCAAAAGGGGAGGGGCACTTTTTACATAGGAAAAGGGGAACTTTTCATAGCAAAAGGGGAACCTCTCAGATTTGAATAGGGCAATTGTCAGAGGTGAAGGGGGCGCTTTTCAAAAGGAAAACTGCAAAGGGAAACTTATTAGAGATTAAAAAAGGCAATTATGAGAAAAGAAAATGGACACTTATTGCAAAGGAAAATGGGAACTTGTCAAAGGAAAAGGGGTAAAAAAAAAAAAGGGCACTTATCAGAGGTGGAAAGGGGAAGGGGCATTTTTAAAAATTAATAGGGGCACTTGTCATAGTAAAAGGGGCACTTCTTACAAAGTTAAAGGGACACTTTTCATATGTAAAAAGGGGCGCTTTTGAGGTACTTGAAAAGAGGTAGGGCACTATGCCCCCCTGCTCCCCGGGAGTGCCGCCTCTGGCAGTGGCGTAATGAGCAAATACGTTATTTTTTAATTTTTTAATTTTTTTTTTTTTTGGGGGGGGGGCAGTAGAAAAATCTGCATCACAAGTGGAGTATTAACGATCAGGTAGAGCGTAGCGAGAGAAGCGAATGGAGCGAACATTGGCGTAGGGTCCAGGGGCATTGTCCCAGCGTGGGTCAAGGAAGCTCAGGGGTTTAGGCATTACATTACGGTCAGATAAGCATATTTAGATACCTCATTTGTGACACTGGCAGTTCAGTCATTCTTCCTTTTTCTATTTCTTTCTTTTTCTCTTTAACATATTTTTCAAAAAAGTGAGGGGGGGGGGGGGGGGGGTCTCGAGCCCCGCCGTTCTGAATGCGCTGACACGAAGGCTTCTTAATAAGCATATTTTTGTCTGACTGTAAATTTAGGAGTTTGTATTTTTCCAACCGACAAACGCATAAAAAAGTAAAAAAATTACCAAAAAATGGAGAAAACAAATTTCAAAAAATAATGCCATTTAAGTAACATTTGTAAAATCACTAGTATATAAACCACCTTTTATTTGTTTGTTTTTTATTTATTATTATTATTATTATTATTATTTTTTTTCGGGGGGGGGGGGGAACTGTCCCTAGCCCCCATCAGTACGCCAGTGTTCAGGGGCTCATGTCTTCTCACCCCTATGTTAAAAAACACACACGCTTTCCCATCCTCTCACAATATTTCCACGATATGCGCGTTTCGCTTCTATAAAATCATCTATTGATAAATATATTGGCATGCGGAATGTTTAGAAATTTAATTCCTGTTTACTCTCCTTTTCTTTAAATGGAATATAATTTGTATGTGATTCAATTCACGTTTTATTAATTATGAATTTCATTTTGATTAAAATGAAAAGACCATTTTAACTCCTTTGCTGCTAATTTTTTTTCGGGAGGGGGGGGGGGGGGCTTCTGTGGGGGGGGGGGGGCGAAAATGCGTCCCCCCCCTTCCCACACTTTTTTTTTGGGGGGGGGGGGGAGGCGACCGCCCCCTGCCACCTTTACTTCAGGCGCCCCCCCCCCCGCTGTGTAATGTAGTTATATGTTTCATGTATTAAGTTGTTTATTGTCATCGCAGTTCTGATGCGATCCGGAAACTTAAAGCTCTCGGCCGACAATGCAAGACTCCTCGATGCCTACGTGCATGCATCATTCCGAGTCTCCTCTTCGATAAGATGCGCACAATACTGCCTTGCTGACGTCACTTGCTCTTGCTTCACCTACATTGCCCACGAGAGGGAATGCTTGCTTGGCGAGGAATGCCAGGGGGCATCTGGAGTCAGATATGATACACATCCTGGAGCTAAAACATATTCAAGGGCTTAACTTCATCAACTGACAATTCAGGATTAATTCGTCAACATAATGGTCAAAAACAAAAATTATGAATTGCAAGCAGTAATTTTCTGTAAAATTAACTGTAAAGTACCCCGATAGATGGCGCTAGACCAGCTTTACATACAGAGTCAATATCAGCTTTTCTTTAATGTATATAGGATCTCTTTAAAGGTATTACAAAGTTTTGGTATGGGGGGTCATGAACTTTGTTCAAATGAACACATTGGTAGCATATGCGATCCTACAATATTCAGTGATCGTTGTCGCGGTTGAAATCGAGTCTAAAGTTATGAAATTGTAAATAATAAACTCTTTTATGTTGTATAGCTCCCTCTCAAGGTCAAGATATTAATTAAGCAATGAAACAATGTTTCTTGACTAAAATCTACCAATTAGCTATTCCCGTTTGGAAATTATATATCACAACTACATATTCTGAGATTATCATAGTCGCAGCTACCATTGTACGGCCGTAGGCGCTATTTGAAATTTCTCAAAATTTACCGGGAGCACCGGTAAATTTTTCTCGAAAGTAGAAGTGTTTTAGGGGCTAAATTTTTGTGTGTTTACAATACATTCACAGGGGCATCCAAATATATCAAAATTGTAAAGAATCACTTTCCACCCAATTTTCAAAATTTCCCAAAACTTTGTATTACCTTTAAAGCTGTATGATGCTCAAGAGAATCGTAAAAACGTTCATAGAAATAATAATAG